ACTTGGCTACGTCATCCTCACATGACTGCCAGCACATCTCGACTCCGGTTGGGGTGTGTCACCGCGAGTCATTTATTTTTTATTTATTTTTATATATATTAAAATTGTGTCATTTTCATTAAAATTTAAGTTCTTTTGTCCTTTTATTAAAATTTAAGGGATTTTCATTAATATATAGTTATTTTTCATTAAATAAAGTTATATAGTTTTTAGTTAAAATAAATTTGGTCCAAACCCTTTTTATGAAAGTTCCCTTTATATCCTATCTTCACACATAATCATAAAAGAAAAAAGCTTTCCCATACAAACTTAAAACTACTTGTCTAGTCTCACTATAGGAGGTAAGATAATACCCTCATGTACAATCAGTGATTGAGCCATGACTTAAGCCTAGAAGGGTCCAAAATTCTCAATTTGATACGCTTTCCTAATTTTACTCTGCCACGTGGTAAGCAACCTACCACCGTTGTTTGGGTCTGGTATGGTGTCATCCACATCATTCTCTTCCATAAACCTAAATTCATGCCTCTTTAACTTTCTTCCTCTCTCCCTCCTCCTCAAAGCTCACAAGTAATGAATAGCCTAAAGTCCATAGGAGCCATCAACCTCAAATCAAACCCAATGAAAGAAAGTAAAATAAAAACGTCAGATTGGTGCCTTGAGTCTACAGAAAAATCTTGAAAATCATATGTATTTCACTAAACTGTTATGTGTGGAAAAATGTCAGGATAGGTCTAGGACCATCCTTGTCCCTTCATGGCTCCATCTCTCCAATTAATGTTGTATTAATTGTAGCTACTTAGTAATATAGTTTAGTGTTATTTCTCTTCACTTGTAAGTGAAAGGTCTTTAGGTTCAAATTTTGTAGATGACGAGTTATTAACAAATTTATTCTCCCCTCTCCCCACTCTTTAGTGGAAGCATATTGCAAATTTATTCTCCCCTCTCCCCACTCTTTAGTGTAAACATATTGTTGTATAAAAAAAAAAAATTAATTGTATGCAAGGGTTTCTTTGGTGTGAGCACACAAATTTAGCATTTAATGGCTTATGAAATAATTACACGTGTACTAAGTGTTACTCTCAAATAAGCGGCACTAGGTAGCACTGTAAGGGTGGTTTTGGTATATTACCAGTACCAAAATCTCTATACCAATTATCATACCAAATATTTGGTACGGCAAAATCTATTACCATTACCGTACCAAACTTTTGGTGTACCTAATAACAGTATACCAAATAGTTTGGTTGATATGGTATGCCAATGGTAATTGCCACTTTGTTTTACGCACTTAGTTTGCCCAAAATCTAATATTTTTTAATTAATGTAGAAGTGTAAAAAATATAGAAAAAATATATAAACGCTCGTAATGACAAATTTGACAACTTTCGTGAAGAGCTTAACTTTGAAATTCACCATTATAATCATATAAATCATAGATCAAAATTTAACCGTTGATTGTTGTTTACATTTACGCTTCATTTTTTCTCATCAAATTTTGTTTTTTTTTCTTCAGATTTTCTTTTTTGAAAACATGATCTATTAGAGGATGCAAGAAGATGAACGGTTTGGATCATTGATATTATGTTCAAAGTTTAACGGTTAGTGAAAATATTGTTTGATGTTTATAAAGTTTCTACAAATTATATGACATCAACTCATATTTCAGTTTTTATTACATTTTTTACACTTCTACAATAATTATTATTAATTTTTCCCTCAAATAATTATATGAATAAAAACATAATATAATATTAATAATATTGGTAGGTATGGTATACCATCGGTATTGGTTTTGGATACCAGCACCATACTGAAACAGTATGGTACGATACAAATACCGTATCATTACTAATTGGTACAAATTTTTGGTAATAATTTGGTATGGTATGGTTGGTATGACGATTGGTATGGTAATTTGGTAAAAATTTCCACCCCTAGGTCACAGTGGGAATTTTTTATTTTATTTTATTTTTTAAGAAAGAAGAAGATTAAATTAAAGAGAAACCTCAGTGACACCCAAGGCCTTGATAATCATACAAGATAGCATTTTTTGCTTGGGGAGGAACACACGCATCCCAAATATATAAATTAATACAACTATGTCTAAGGGAAGTAATAGCATCTGCTGTTAAGTTTCTCTGTAGACATGATTCTATTCTACTAGCTCGAATGATGAGGCAAGCCATTTAATGTCCTCAGCAATGGACCTAATTATTTCATTAGCAGTGGGAATTTTTCCAACACTTTTTACCCTTTTATTTGAAGTCTTTTTAGAAGAAAAGTGAAACAAATAAAACCAAGATAACTGTAAGTGAGAAGCCTATATCATCATGAAGAATAAAAAAAGAGAACCGTTATTAGCATTCTAAAAATTTTAATTTGCACTCCTCATAATTGTATTTTTATTTCTAAATATAGAAATTTTAAAGTACAAAATGAGAATTTTAGACTGAGAATAATACTTCCAAAATAATTGTACATAATACCAAAAGAGAAAATTATGCATACTGTCGCCGTGCTTGAACAAGCAAATGCTAATGCTGCTGCATCAGAAAATAAACCCGAACCCAAATCTGAAAGCCAGGATCTAATTAAAGACGAGGATTTCAACCTCTGAAGTGTTAGTCCGATGAGCAAAAGGAAGTGGAAGAGGTGGTCTACGAGCCAATGAATATTATTTGGTATTCATTAAGAAAATAGTGAAGCCCTTCAAAGCAAGGCATAGAGAAGAATCAAGAATGAGCCAGTACCTCACTTACGACACAGTCCCTAATTAGAAGTCGATTTACTTGTGATGCAAACTTTAACATTAACTAACAACTAACTAAGTAACTAACTCTTTCGGTTGGCAGAACCAACAGTAACACGCCTATTACAAATACAACAGTGGCACTTAGAAAACATTTAACTAGTTTAATTGACTGTTTGATACTAATGATACCGTTACTTCGAACAGATGGAGGGATATAGGATGAGCTTATCGAAATGGTCCCCAAAGCATGGACTTTCTTGATAAAATGACCATTAAATGACATCCTTTCTTTAACGTTCTTTCTATGGGGTTCAAAGATATAATCACACGACATAGCATCGAGTGGCTTGTGATTCAACATTTGCATTCCAAATTAGCTACAGCCTCGCGGCCACAAGTTCGTTTCGCCCTAAGTTACTAATAAATTTAGGTATGTATCGAACAAACAGACGTCATGTTATCATTCAATTACAATTGAAGTTGGTTAGCAGAACATGGTGTGTTAACAATATTATACATTTGAAAGACTAGCTCTTGGGATTTCAGACCGTTTTACTCTCTTTCAAATAGTAGACATTTCAACCATTTTTTCTCGTGCCAGTGCCACCAAAAATTCTTGGATTTCTTGCCTAAAAACAGACAGCTACATCAAAAGCACGTTTTTATGTAGTTTGACAATTAGTTCCCTCGATAGAGAAATAGGTTTGACAACTCAGCAAAAAATAAAAAAAAAAGGCAAAAAAATCTTTAAACCCAAATAAAAAATAAAGAAACAAGTTTGACAATTGAAAACTCGCTTTTGGTTGTCCAGAATGACGATTCTTTTTTTTTTTTTTTTTCATTTTAAAAAACATGAATATCACGATTTAATTCCAATAAAAAGGTCCACCGCCTACCCGTCTCACTTTTGAGCTGTTTGACAAACCATACTTCTAGAAAACAAACACTAATCAATTCAATTTTCCTACCAACATCTATCTACTATTATTAACAAAATAAACAAAGTAATTGAATAAGATAAAAAAATATCTGTACACACGTGACAAAATGTCTCTTCTTAATGAGAAAAGACAGATTACATATAACGAGCTTTTACATAAAACAACTAAGTTTCTCAGAAGAAAATAAAACAAACATAAAGAAAGCCTAGGAAGAAAGAAATTCTAGAAAAAAGAACGGAGGTAATTTTTACACTTTTTTTAATCTTCTTATATATATTTTTTTTAATTGTAATATCAAATGAATAAATCAACCACCAAAAACGAATATTATTTTTAATTATCAAGAAAGGAATGTACGCCTTCATCATTTTCCGAAGCAAAATGGCAACTAGGTTAGCAACATGGATTATAAGTCAAAAAGCAACAAGTTTTGGTGGCCCAAAAAGCACAAGTTTTGGTGGCCCAAAAGCCTCAACCGATAATTAATTGTGATAGAGATACTCGGTGGCTAATCTTTTAGAGTAATATTATTCATACTATATTTTTATATCACCTTAGGTAGCATCTGATATGGACAGCCACATCATTTGAAAAATTTGCAAAACTCAAGGAAATGAAGGAGAAAGACTCCTCGTATACCACAATCATCATTTAATTAATTAGTTTTTCTTAATTATTAGTTTATTAAATAATAAACTAAATTTAAAAATCTGATTAATTCAAATGATGTGGTTGTTCATATCAAATACCACCTCAGATGGTATGAAATGTTGTATAAAAACATGAATAGCATTACTCAATCTTTTAAAAGATTCCATCCATATTGGTGGTCAACAAAAGGGGCTTAACTTGTTGATGATAAATTAATTAACACTAAGCCAGAAAGATAACCCATAAAACAACCTAATAAACCACCGAGTGCAAATTATCCAAAGGGAAACCTCTTCCCTGAAGCCTTTCAGCTCAAGACAAACAACAACAACAAAATCCTATTCCACTAAGTAGAGTTTGCTTTCGTGTAAGATTTATTATGATAAGAATTTGACGTAAGAACGAAATATCTGCTATCGACCACCTAACGTCCTCTCTTGCCCCTCCTCTTTTATCTGGACTTAAAATCGACAGTGTAAGATAAATTTATCTAGACAGAATTCAATTTTAGCTCAAGGCAAGAAGAAAAATCTTACAAATTAAGTTCATCTAATCGTATCTTAAATTTAACGGCAATAGCTAGTCATAGATCAAAGCAACAATACCAATGCTCTATTTTTGTCGGACAAAAAAATTGATAATTCAACACCACCTGAAGATGTTAATCAATCAGTCAATCATTCCTTCCTTTTCTTTTCTTTTTTTTTTTAATGAAAAGGTTAATCAATCATTCCTAATTATCATACATTGAACTCGTAAAATCTACAATATCTACATCACTAAAAAAAAAATAATAATAATAATAATTATTAAAAAAAAAATTAACACCAAATTTACGAAGTTTGGTTTAGTAGAGAATGAAACCGCGGATCTCTGAAAACGCTGGCAATGGATCCGCTCCCGCCATCAACCACCTTCAGCAGCGCAACTGCCTTGCTCTTCGCTTTTGCGCTGCCACTCTCCGCCACATCAGCAATCCCATCCACCACTCCCAGCCCCTCCTCCCTCACCTCCCTCAGCGCCCTCTCTCCGCCGCACCTGGACAGATTAAGCAGCGCACCCACCGCGTTCTCCTTGCTCCTCAAGCTGGACCCGGTCGAGAGATCCAGCAAATCGGCCAAAACCCTGACCCCGGAAACCCTCTGAAACGCTTCCTCGCTCTCCTCGCACCCGGCCACCTGAGCGATCACAGCCGTGGCGTCCTCCACGATCCCCACGCGCCCGTCCTTCACCACCAAAGTAAAAAGCGCGGGAACGGCCCCGAGCTCCACCAGCGCGCCGCGGTTGAGCGCGTAGAGAGCGATCCCGAACAGCGCCTTCAGCGCGTCCTTCACCGACCGCGCGGGAGAATTGGGGCTCTTGACGATGTCGATCAGAGAGTAGACGATGTCGCGCTTGGAGCCGATCATGGGGCGGTAGTCGTCGACGACGAGGAGGCTGTGGAGGGTGGCGGCGGAGGACTGGACGGCGAAGGGGGAGGAGGAAGGGGATGCGTGGTGGCGGAGAACGTGGGAGAGAGCGTCGAGGAGGCCGCGGGTGGAGATGAGGGAGTGGCGGCAGGAGATGGAGACGTTTAGGAGGGCGGCGGCGGCGTCGTCTTGGAGGGAAGAGGAGGAGTCGAAGAGGGTTTCGGACAAGTAAGGTATGGCGCCGGATTCGGCGACGAGGGGGCGGCTGTCTGGGTCGAGCTTGGTGATGAGGCGAAGCTCTTTGAGAGCGTCGGCTCGGGTTTGGGAGGAGACGGAGCTGAGCTTGGAGACCAAGGACCGAACCGTACGGACCTTCACTTCCATTTTTGCGATGTCTGTGTGCGTCTGATTGTGTTTGGATCTGGAACTCTGGGATTTGGGTCGTGTTTGTTGGGATGATTGCAAGAGGAAAGGGATAAGATTTTGATAGCAGGAATGATATGGGTGCTGAGTGGTTAGTTGTGTTTGAAATGGAAGTGCGTGCGAGTTGACAAGTTACGAACTCGGAATTGGTCAACCTTTCGTGCGTTATGTGCACTTCTCTTTCCTCCCTCTCCCCGCCAAACTTGCATGTCAATTAACAAGAAATAGTGAAAATGCTGGATTGTTGAGCGGTTTGTTTGTGTTTTTAGAAAAAAATTGTTTTTTGAATTTCAGTTATGTGCTTCTTTAGGAAGTACTTTTAAGTATCTTTCTAGTATTTACATTTTTAAAAAGAATTGTTTCTAAAAATATTTTTATTAGAAAAATTTTTAGTCATTTTAAAAATACTTCTAAAAGAGCTATGGTTAGAGTTTTTTTTTCTTCCTAACTCACTGTATTTTGAATTTAAATTCTTTTCTTGTTCCTATTATAATATGTTAGTGTAAACTATCACTTATAATAAATAAATAAAAACTTTCGACAAAAAAAGTAAAAAGAGTAAATGTGTATGGATGTCGGGTTATTTCCAAGAGGATCCTCGGAATCCTCCAATCACATCCGTTCATCGTATATCGTGTGGTAAAAAATTATTGTAAATTTTTTTATTTAAAATTGAATATAAATAGTATCTGACAAAAAACTGAATGTACGATGAACAGATGTGATTAGAGGATCCGGCGAGGATCCTCACTCGGGTTATTTCCTCTTGGTGAACGGTAATGTTCATTTTTAATAAACCATATTTAAAAGTATTTATTGTACACCACATAGTACTATGGTCTAATATTATTTTTCTTCATTTGCAAGTGAAATATCTTAGATTTGATTTTCTCCAAAGACGTACTTAAACTATATTATTACTAACTCATTATGAGACTAAACTCACCTTCTTTTTTTTAGTATAGATAATCAATTAGTTAAAAAAAAAAAAAATTTACTGTACAACAAGCGGATGATGATGGTGGATGTATACTTATGTTTTGAAATATAAGTTTACAGAAAGTGGGGAATTTGCTTTATTATTTTGTTTTTCAAAAGGATGATGATTGATGACCTAACTGCACGTTATATATGATTCGTGTAATGAAGAAAATAATTTAATTCCACTGGGAATGGTTGGTTCTGACTCCACACTCAGCCTTTGTATGACCCCGTCCTTGACGCGAATGATCGGGCGGTTTGGAATAAAAGTTTACATAAAATCGGTTTACTGTTATTGTATTGGTTTGATTTAAAAAATATAACATATATTAGCGATTTGATTAAAAATATAATGAATATTAACAGTTAATTCATTCTATATAGTTGATTTTCAAATTTGAAAGCAAATTAATTTGAAAGCTGTTGGTTTGGGAGATAACTAGATATCAGCCCTCGAGCGAATTGATGGAAGAGGATCCTCTATTGAGCTCAGGATGAGGATTCTCCTGACCACGAAATCCAGACTGTTCAATTTTAATCATCTTCCTGAATTGATGACTATATATACAAGATATTATTATTTACAGATCTATTTTTATTTAGCATACACCTTTATTAATTTTTGGTGTTAATTTTTTTCAATTAATTCGATATAATGATTGAAAATTGTAAAAATTATGTAAGAAATATAAATGAATATGTAGATAACACTATCCTATATAAATCAACGTTGAGAATATGTAATTACTAAAAAAGATTAAGAGAGAGAAATTATATTTATTAGAAATAGTATTGTAAATTGATTTTATTGATGATGGCAACGCAACCAACTACTAAAAGTAGGGTGTGCAGGTTGGCGGCGCTTGAACGAATGGCATCAAACAGAAAAATAGTTTAAAAGATGAAAGGAGGGGGATGAGGATATTTTCAGAATTTTATTTTTTTTGGGATTTTAGAGATCTTTATATTTTAATTGTTTATTGTATATTGTAAAGTTAGTTTTTTTTAAGTGTATTTGTGTTTAATTTTAAATAAGAAAATTCAAATAATTTTTAATTACATGATATACAATGAATAATTATAATGTGAGAATCTTTAAGATGCCTGCAATTTGAATCAGAATAGAATCAAATTCGAAGGAGAGGAGGCTTGAAGTTGGTGTGGCAGTGGCACCAAGAGTCAATTAGTCTCATGGAAATGTAAGACTTTTGTCAATGGCAGTGACACGAGTCTTACGTCAGCCTTTGATAATATCTACTTTATCATATGATTTTATATTAATCAATATTGTAATGCCCAAAAAATATGAAGTGGGCCAACATAGTTAAAAGGATTAGACATAGACCAAAAGTTGGGGTGAGGGGGTTTCTGTCTCTTTGGAGAGAGCCTGCTTTCTCTTTGGGCCTAAAGAAAAAGGAGCTTCGTGGGTTGAATTATAATAGAGGGAATGAGAGTTCGGTTAAACCACATAATAGGCAGCTTAATTGGATATCGAATTCGTCATATATGAGATTTGAACTTAAAACCTCTCATTTCTAAGCGAAACCGAAAGGCTTGGCCCCCTGAGGAAATATTTGTGAGCACCTACATTGAGCTCTATGCAGTGGGGGATCCAGAATTTTAAACTCGGGAGGTCCCAATAATAAAGGTTAAAAAATTAATGGACAAAAATAACATTGAAAGTTAAATATAATACATTTCATTCAAAAATCATGTGCAAAACAACATTACAAGCTATAAAATCCTAATTCAAGCGTCCACGACGAAGTTTCATAGTCTGAAAATGTGTCATGATAGCTTCATTACCAATACATGAAAAAACATCTTTCTTACTGTAAACAACTAAACTGTCACTCAACCATTGATCTCCCATTTTGTTGCGAAGTGGACCCTTAATGATATTCATAGCAGAAAATGCCCTCTCCCCTGAAGCAATTGCAACCGGTAAAACCAAAGCCAACTGAACAAGCAAATATACATATGCAAATGTTCGATGCAACCCTTTCTCCACCATTTTCTTAGCAAGCTCATTAATTCCCCGCAATTGAGAAAAATCATTATCATAACGCACAAAATGAATGTAAATATCAAGTTGATCTTGAAGTGCCAATCTATCTTGATCCGTGAGAATTGAAACAAGTGGATGTATGATATTGGAGTAATGTAATTATAATATGGGATTGGGTGGGATTAGAAATTTAGGGTTTTGGGTGAATATAAGAAAGATGGGGGGATTAGGGGGAAAAGCAGTGAAACGGGGAAAGGAGAAGCAAAATGGACTCTCGGGACGGGAAAGATGGCCCATGTGGGGCTAGACTTTCAAAAAAATTATGGAATCATGTTGCAAACGGTAGACCAATTGCAAAGGTTTGTCTCATTGGTTTTAAAAAAAAAAAAAAAAATAAATAAATAAATAACAAATTGGCCAAAACACTGCGTTTTGGACCAATTTTTTTAAATGCCCTGTTTTCTTTCTTCTCCCCTGTTGTCTTTTTCTCTGTTGCAAGGTGCAACCTGCTGCTGCTGCAGCACAGACAGTCTGCACAGGCCTCGTGTTCGAGTATGAGGGGTCCTCCAAAAAATTTCTAGCAACATTTTAGGATTGCCGAGGGGTCCTGGGACCTCCCAGGTCCCTCTGTAGATCCGTCTCTGGCTCTATGTAAGGGAGAGAGGAAGACCTAGAGTGGTAAGTTTCATGCAACCCTAAACCCTAATATTTTCTCTACATAATTCCTCTCTATCTAAACAACAAAGGAATCAAAGTGGCTAGGCTTGTATTACACCGATACCCTTTGATCCTTGCTTATTTCCATGTTTATAAACCCTAGACATATAAGGTGCAAAATCCCGTCCTTGGATTTCAGTATTGAAAATTACGTATTTCATATTCTTAGTTTCGACGCTTTTATAATTACAGCATATAGTTTTTCTTTTCTTTCCGATAAGTAAAAGGACGAAAACGCCCTTAATGAACTAAACGAACTTTTCGAGGAGGTATTAAATTCCTATATGTTTTGTCACTTTTATTTATATATTTGGATAAAGCTCAACCTTATGAGTGCGTAGGTGAAAATCGTTTGTGAAACGGAGTTTTAACGAATGAGAAATTAGCGGTTAAATGCAGGGGTAAAATATTAATTAACCACTAATCTGGAAGGCTCCAAATTTGCTAGAGCAGCAATCTGGGTGTGATGTGTATGACTGAGATGGGAAGAAGAGAAGAGAAAGATAGAACCCGAAGTCCATGGCAAAGCACGTCCCTAAGCTCTTCTTCATTATTTGCGGAGATGGTGAATGGTAGTATGATGTGGGTGATATGGGTTATGCGGGGGTGGATGGATGGATATATTAGAGAGAGCTTAGGGACCTTATTTATACTAGAAAACCCTCAAAAGTCTGGGAGAAACTCTCCTAAAATAAAACAAACTCCTAAACAGTTAATGACACAAACTAGGGAAGAATCCTTCTTAGCTTGGGAAACCCATCATCTGCAGGGCCCGCCCTGTCCCAGGGCTAGCAAGGCGACTGTCCGGGGCCTCAAAAACTTGAGAGGCACCAAAAATTGATAGGGATGTATTTCCATAAGCCTATAAATTTTGAAACCTTGGTTTAATCAACAACTTTAGGCAGCTGCGGTGGTGTTACGCGTCTTGCTCAATAAGACAGTGTCGTGTTCGCAACCTGATGTGTTCATTTTTTTTTTCCAATTTTTTACGATATTCTGTTTGGGATCAATGCAAGGCACCTTATCCTTTCCCTTTCATGCCTTTCCCCTCACCATTTAACATCGGGATGTAATTTGCACAACAAACTAAACAGCTAACTTAACGGTAAGAATTCATTAAAATACAAATAATTAATAAAACAATAAATTAGAAATATGGTGCCCACCTATTAATGTTCTTCCTCAACCCTTTTGTCGTCTCTTTTATCTTCCATGAGCAAAAGCCATGCCTCTCAAATTCTCTTATTTTATTTATAAAGAAATATAATTCTCAAAAAAATAATTTTACAGTAACAATCACATATGGTTGTAGGCCAGAGAAAATTGCAAAGGTATAGGGAGGAAGAGGTAGATTTGGAGAAGGATTTTGATAACAAATTTATCTAGCTAACGAATTTCAGAGAAAATTACGAAAAAACTGGCCCTGGTCATCTGTCTTGCACGCCAGTTTTGGGGTCGATTTATCTTCTGGAAAATTCTGTAAAAATATGGAAATGTAGCTTTATCTCTTATCTTTCCAAGCATATATTGCACGTCACTAGGAAAAATTGGGAAAGCCTTCAAATCTTCATTCTCCTACAACTGTGCAATTCTGACAGGAAAACAACTTCTGTGGGATTCATTTGTGAAACTGGAATGAATGGCTCCATGGAAAATTATGAAATTTGGACACAACGATCTTCAACCTCTTAACTTCCTTTACCAATTAGCCTTGCATCAAAACTCCTCCGGAAAGTCGAATTATCACCAAAAACGTCCTAAGTGCACAGAATGGCTGAAACTGAGAAAAGGAAAGTAATAAGGCTCTTTTATAATCAATTCCTTAACAAAACTTAGGGATAATTAATATGAAAATATGATAAATAATGTACCTATCAGTATCCTTTGTGGATATGACTTGATTTTATAAATGTGATTTTTATTAAAATGTTATTTTTAATAATTAGCCATCGATCTATTATAAAATGTGATTTGACTTGTGCATAGGGAATATTTGTGAAATTCATGTTGGATTGTTTGTTAAATGTGAAGGCTAGTAGTGGACCATTAACCCATTGTCATGGGGATTCGTTGCTTCGATATCATTTCATTTCTTGCTTCGTTGGTCCATTCTAAATTTAGTACTTGTGCTTGTTTCATTTCGTTGAGCTTTCATGAATTTAGTAACTTGATTCATGTCTTGTTTCTTCAAGCCGTTGTTATGTTTCTTGGACTTCCGGTCAGTTCTGTTGAATGGTCAGGTGCTGGGTTCTGCTGGGGTTCCATTGAATGGTTTGGTTCCCTGCTCTGTCTGGATTCCGTTGAGTGGTCCAGAATCGTATAATGCTTTGGATTTCGTTGAGTGATCCGATATCCATTGTTCTCCATGATTTCGTTGAGTGGTCCGAAATTGTATCCACTTGGATTCCATTGAGAGGTCCGGAATCCCTTCTACTCCACAATTTCATTGAGTGGTCCGGAATCCCGCTTAGTATTTTGGTTCCGTTGAGTGGTCCGTAACCCGATGTTGTTGGATTTCGTTGAGGTCCAAAATCACATCCTTGACTTTGTTGATTTGTTGGATTTGGTCTAAATTGAGAAAGTTTTAGAGATGTAGGCTTCGACCAAACTATGTCGCTCTAGCCCTGCATTTTGGTGTATTGTATGAGTTATTAATTGACATGATTGTGCATTGGTGTTGGAAAGCATATGTGTGTGTGAATGGCAAGATGACAACTCTTGTTTGGCTTATGGTTGATGTGTAGTGTGGTATTGTATGTTTTCTACTAGGAAGTGTTTTAGGAAAAGTTCAGAGTTTAACAAATGGTGAACTACGGATGACTTGATCTCGTCGAAGAGTACGTAGGTAGTCTAACAAAGAGGTTAGATGCAACCATAGAGTAAACGAAAAATTACTACGCAGTTCGAATCTTAAGTTGTGCTTTGTTCATATCCCGGAGATAAGGTATGTTAGATATACTGGTACTTGGTGATGTCATGTGTCGATCCTGGACGTATGTCGGAATCGGACCTTGACATAAGGAAGTTAGGTTAAAACCCTAAACCACCTGGTATCCTTATCCTAAAACTATACCACCTCATAAAAACCGTTGTTTGTTAACCGCTACTAGTTTTTGTCACTAAAAAAAATCATTAGCTCAATGGTCAAATAATGATTGTATTAAATACAAGCAAGTATTATAATCAGTCTCGACTTAATTGCCTAGCTCATTTGTGAATCCAACTCCATTTTATGCTTGACTCGACTCAAGTCATTTTAGAAACACATTTGAACTCAATTTTGGTTTAACTTAATGAAAAGAGAAAATTGGTTGACCAAATACAAGTAATTTAAAGAATGGAAAACTAATGAATACAAATAAGTAAGTTAGAATTTGTTAAACCAGTATAATATTTGGATTCAATTTTGTTGGCATCTTTATTTTAATTATAATATAAAAACGTGTAACTTTTATGACCCAAACTTTGCCGAAAGGAGTCGAGCTTGAAGCCTTGAACCAAATTGAAGACCGAGAGCAACTCACAAGTTTAAGGAGTCGAGCTTGAAGCCTTGAACCAAATTGAAGACCGAGAGCAACTGACAAGTTTTATGAGCCCAGTATTGAAAAGCTCAAACTCGTTTTTTATTTATTTATTTTTGTTTAAAAAAACATTATGGGATTAGATTGGAATTGCTTTTAAAATGACTAATAACGTTTTTAGAAAAAATATTTTAAGGTTTTAGAAGTACTTGAAATGTTTGCTGCAACAAGCACCAATTATGTGTTGGTTGCTGGAAATACTTTAAGTGTTTTTTCAAAATTCACTTACATTTTTATTGAGGATGATTTCAAAAACATTTTCATCAAAAACACTTTCGATCATTTTAAAAGAATTTTTAAATGAACCATAATATTTTGTTTAAGCTCAACTTGTATGTTTTCTGAGCCGAACACAAATCAAACTGGAATTGTGACATATGTAAATCCTCATATATGTAACATATAATAAGTCTTATGTTTTGCATGTGTGTAAAGCAATCAAATCTCACACAGTACTATATCTTCAAAGGATGACGGAAAATTTTATTGAATTAAAAACCTTGGAAATGGACAGGGTTCTTGCTGCAAGCATCTTGCAAAAATAACCCGTGACACTGTGCTGATACCTATCTAAACCAATCCAACCAGAGAAAAAGACACAAAGCTAGACCTTGAGATTGAGATCCCTTCCTCGTGACATTTGTCGGTGTAAACCTACAAGAACACTTAAATTTTGGACCTTTCCTATCAATATCCCACTTTTGTGTCCTTGACGTCCAACAATAACTTTGATACAAAGGCCAAAATAACCCCACAAAGAAGAAAAAACCCAAGCTAAAAATAGTACTACGTTTACAGTAGTTGGCCACAGATAGTCGTGGGAGTTTGGGGGAAGGGCAACAAAAGATTGACTAAGTGCAGGCCTCACGGGCCACACCAAGCCTTGAGTTTGGCACATCAATGAGCACTCTGTGGTTCTGTTGCTGCATATTGGCAATGACATTTAGCACCGAGTTCAAGTTGTCTGGTGAGGCTGCCATGGCTAGACATGTGATGCTACCAGCTGTGCTGTGGATTACAATGTTGTCCTGTGGCAGTGTCACGTTCATGCCCGAGAACATGAACGTTATCGTAGGCACGACAAAGGGGACTGAGTAGCATGTGTCGAACCCGCCTAGGGATGTCACCGGTATTTTTGGGCCCACTCGCCTTCGGAACTCGTTTCGGACGGCGAGGTAGGCCGGTTGCACTAATCGAGTGAACACGGTTCCTGATTAACGCAAAACACGAAAATGTTATTTGTAATGATTGTGAGACATATACTTACGAGCATCACCTGAGGTCAAAACTAATTGTGAAAATTTTACTATTCTTTGTTGTATTCTATACATCAAGAATTTTTTTGGTCATTAATCTTGATCATTAGATCTTAAATCAAGAATTTAGTGGCCTAAAAACCCTTATGTGTAGAATACCCTGAAGATAAATCCCAAACCTAGTTTAAGTCCAAGAGGGGTCCTCTAGTCAAATCATGGCATGTGGGCTAGTCACATGATCACAGACAATGTACATTTAAAGTCAGCTTTGTGACTAGACCCCTCAATCAGCAAGGATCCAAAATACCATTCATTACCAAAATTCTTTTAGTTAAGATAATAATTATTTTTTTAATTGAAAAAATAGTTGTTTGGCAATGTTACCTGAATCAAAGATGGTCCCTGAACCAGTGGTGGGATTGAATGCCAAAGCAGCAGGAGGGATATCAACAATTCTCCTGCCAACCCTAATTGCATTTAAGTTCACATAATAGAGTGATGATCTTCTAGGGTTCTTGAGCAGTGGGGTGTACTTGATCCTCTTGGGCTGCCCAACAGGGCCAAGTCTCAATGATCCAGAAAAGTTTGGGGACTTGAAGCTGGGGAGGCAGTATGAGAATGTGGATTGATAGAGGTTTTGGGTTTGGGATAGAAGTGACAATGGTCCCCGGCCAAGCCCCAGAAGACCCTGTGGCGGAACGGAGCTGCCAGTGGCCTTCTGGATGCAACCGAATGTGTAGCCGGGGACGGAGTCGGTGGCTAGGGTGAAGGTTTCTTGTGAGAGGTTAGCTGCTATGCTGGAGCTACCGTAAGTCATGTTGAAACCGCAGGAGCCGCCTAAGCAAGTGGGGTTGGGGACCTGAAGAGTAATCACATGCACAATGTTAGTGTATCATTTTGTCCCATTTTAGTAAAGCACGAATTATTAACCTATTAAAATAGAGAGTGCATAAAAGAGGATCTACTTTTAGAGATCTCATTCACTATTAAACCATGTTAGGGACTTTTTAGCATTTTTGAAATGGTTACGAGATATGCTTAGCTGGATAATCACACACGTATTCGATTTGTTTAAACGGTCACTTGCTTTTTAAACAAATTTACACGTAATCAATGATCTAGATTTACAATTTGTTAGACAACATAACAGGCAAAATTGGTTTAAATACAGTGAAAAGATGACAAAAGTTGGGAATTTCAATTTTTTTTTCCCTTTCTTTCTGAAGTTTATATGAAATTAATTATGAGTACCTGCTTGCACTGAGCAGCTTGGCAGCCAAGGTTCTTGTAGGTTGTGGATTTGGCAGAGTTAAACACACTGGAGGAGCAGCCAACGCAGCCATTGCATGGAACCCAAGCAGCATCGCTGCTAGTGTCAACAGCCATGAGCAAAGTCTGAGGTGGTGTGCCGATCTTAGCCTTCACAATGTAAGTGGGGCTCTGAATGATCTGCCGGCCAGAGGCGATCGGAACAACCGATTTTTTGGCGACGAGGCTGGACAGGAACTGAAGCCTGGCCTGGTCCTTGGCCTGCATTTGGAGGACACTCTCCTCCCATGACATTGGTTTGGAGGGTCTGAAGGGAGAGCATGGGCTGTAGACATGGAAGATTTGGAGGGTTGAGCCTTGCTCCTTGGTCTCACTACATTGAGGGTTGTTGAGGCCATGGGCTAAGGAGAGGAAGAGGAGGGATAGTGACAAGACATGAGAGAGGGTGGCCATGGCTGAGAGTATAAATGTCTGATGATTAAGTCTGTAGGGGAGTATGTGTTTATATATAGTTTGGCAGTCAAATTTATGTGGCCTTTTGTTTTTCCCCTTTTAAAAGGGAATTGTTATTGGTACTTCAAAATTATCAATTTACACTCCAAATTTTCTATATTTAGAAAGAAAAATACACTCATGAGGATTGTAGAATGAGATTTTTGGAGTGTCAATAACACTTCCCTTTTAAAATTGTATTTTATTTTAGCGTTAACTAAATTTTACACCCTTAGATTTGAATCTCGAAAATGGCACTCCAAAATGGTAAGTTCACAACCAATTTATTCTTTCAATTCTTTAGTGTAAATATACAATTTTAGCTTTAAAATAAAAAAGATGGTTTTAAAATAGGCTATGAGGTTTTAATTTTCTCGATTGCATTCTAAGGTTTTGAAGTTGTATGGTTTCTTTTGAATGTCCAATCCATTATGATTGATGAGTTTTGTTGTTAATATGGTACAAATGTGACTTACACATTAGACCACATAAAGGTCTCACACACATTACATCATCAATTAAATGAATGATTAAATAATTAATCCAACCAAATACATAAATTGATACAACTTCAATATCTTATGGTGTTAACAAAAAGAAATATAGTTAATCTTTTACGATATTTTATTGGTAAGGTATGTTGAGAGAGAGAGAGAGAGAGAGAGAGAGAGAGAGAGAGATGTAGGATGAGGGAAATGGGAGATCCGTCATGGTATGTCTAGTGGATGGCATACAATATATTGTAGACTTGTGTTAGTGGAGTGGTTTTGGTATAACAGACTGTACTCCATTTTGTTTTGTAGGCCGACAGCCTTATGCCTTTGGCGATGTCCAATCTTTTACTCTGCTGATTCGCTCTAATTTTATGACCACTTGCTTAACTAGAGATCTAGAGAATGGAGAGATTAAAAATTTATGAGTAATGACATGTCTTTATTACGCTTGAAAATATGTTAAGCTTCGAGCACCTGATGGAGAAATTTTTTATTTGTGCCCAGAATATGAATAGTACATTACGTGTTATTATAAGTGGAGAAAAGCTTCTTTTTTTTTTTTTTTTTTTCAATTGTTAATTTTTTAACTTAAGTATTTTACCAATTATACAGTGACATGTGATGCACCCAAGGCCAGCTGTGAGGATTGCCGAAGTAGGCGCTCGCCTTGGGCCCCCACATCGGAGGAGCCCCAAAATATATATTTACAAATCAAATTCAATAAAAATATCAAAAAATAAAATCATAGGCAATTGAAAAAGAATTGGTTGAAAAATTAGATTATGGAAATTTAATTAGGAAACATTTGGTCTAAAAATGCGAGAGATCTAATATTTAAGTAATGTTTGTGTGTGTGTATATATATATATTTATAATTATTTTTAATGATATTTGATATAGAAATAGACTTTTTATGTATTTAATGATTTTTTTTTATACATATCAATGTACAAAGGGTCAGGTGGTCATAGAACTTTAGGACCCCATTTCGAAAGCTTGCCTAGAGCCCTCAAATTCTCAAGACTAACTCTGAATATACCACCCCATGTTCCAATCATACTGAAAAATATCTCCATAACAATGCTTTGAGGTTCTTAAATGAGGTGACTCTTTATCTCAGTTCATAAATTTGAGGGATATATCATCTTACATATACAATTACACATATTCTATGTATGTCTGTTCACCTTCTATCAGTTGGCTCTATGGATATCCTATGGTTTCTTAAAGTTCATTGGATAAATTGTTTATGGCATATTTACGGTTGCGTTTTTCTTATACAGTTAGAGAAGGAAATTGCTTGGAGGATGTTTTTGCGAATTACGTGGTAAGATTTGGAACTTAATTTGCAGTGCGTCATATATATAGAAGAGATTGCATTTGGCTTTCCTCCTTTTTTTTATTTATTTTTATTTTTTATTTTTGTTGTCCGCCAACGTTAATCTTAATTAGATATAGTTTGAAGCTTGTTGCTTGGTTGCACTATTAATTATGAGCTTTTCCATATCAATAAAATTCCCTTATACTATCGCGATTGTGCTAGAAACAAAAAACACTTTGCAGAAATTCATAACTAGAGAGAGAAATAATTTTCACATTATGAGTAATAATGATATAATACATGCCAATTGAACTGTGTGGTTTGTTAAGTTGAGAACATTATTTGTGTGATTAGTAGTGTGTGGCTGATCCGATAAAATGTTGACAAAACATACTATAATTAATGATTGACAATCTTTAGATAGTAATATGCAGCAACAATTGAAAATGAATAATACTAAGAAGACTAAATTTTGAAAACTAAAGGGCATGGAAGTGATGATTTATTTATAACTTAAGCGTCGATACACATGTTCATTCTTATTGGTGATGCATAATTTAATTTGTAAATTTAGTCTCCCTAACATTACTCATTGGAAATGTATAGCTACTAGTATTACACGAAGCAATTTGATAATACATATGCATACTATAAAGTCAGGGGGAAGACGAAACTCGTGGAGCTGAGCCCCATGCATTGCAAGATGATAAACACGCAGACTTGTTAGAAGTTAATAATTTGAAATCAAAGAACATAAGCATCAAAATGTATTTGTTTATAAACGGTCCCCAATGTATTAGTGCCTAATTAAGTTAACAATAAAAAAGAGAATACACGCTTTGTGTTCACTTTCAAGTAACAGCACCGTTGATTGTCTTTTGATACTTTCGTTTTCAATAAATTGGGCCATACTGCTTGCATATATTTTACTTTTCTGGCATGCCAGCAATCTTGTTTTGGTTCGTAATGATCCCAGCCACGTAACATTTTGGTGCACGCCACAAAGAGACGCTCTCATTAAGTCTTTAGTGGGTTTCACTGTAACTCCCCATGTGGTATGGAGCCCGGAATTTTTATACCCATTTATAGTAAGCAATATAACAATAGATGGAGAAAGTTGGGATTTCATAATAAATTAATTGGTAATACGTGGAGTAACACAACTTATTTGAAAATTCATGCAAGGTTCATTCTTCTATTAATGCGAGATTCATTCTCAACACACCTCCACATATGTGGCGAATTTTAAAACTTAACATGTGGACAACACAAACAGGATGACGTGGAGCATGTGTGTTCATTGGGCTTCACACGTAGGACAACTTGCTCTAATACCATGAAAAAACTTAGGGTTCCACCATAAAACCAATTGGTAATATCAGGAGTAGCCCAACTTACTTATAAACTCATACAGTGGTCCTTCCTTATTAATGTGAAATTCATTCTTAACAATAAAAAGAACTCTACAAACCCTAAACACTGGATTACTGTTAGGTAGAGCCCACACTATGTTTACAGGTGGTATTTTCCACTTTATGAGTGCTAAAGCAATGTATCGTGATTAATTTGGTTGTAGCACGCAGAATTGAGAATAGAAATATAATATATAGTTTAAGTTCCCATGATAATTTGAGATAGAAGTGATATTTTCACTCTCGAGTACTAAAGCCAAATATTGTTATTTGGTTTTGGCACTTGAAAGTGAAAAATGTGACATGCAAGTTTGATTTACAATCTCGACGTGGCAGTTTCTGAGTTTTTAGAGGCTCAGGGCAAAAACTAAAAATTACGGTCTTTTCTTACTCATTATATTCACAAGAAAAAATAAAAAATAATAAAAGTATATATACTGTTTTTGTCAATCGATGTATTTTATTATATTATATGTTAGATTAGCCACCAATAGAGTTCGAACTCATGCTGTCATACAAGAACTCAATTCTTTTTCACCACTGTGGTGAATGGTCACTTGCATAAAATAAAAAAATAAAAAAAATTTTGATACATCTATGAAAAACAAACATAATAGTTTGACAGAAATAAATATATAAAAATACATTTTCAATTTCTGCTTCGTACAATTTTAGAGTTAAAATCATCAACCATATTTTGAAAATCAAATACTTACAGCATATTATTCTCAATGCACAAAATTGTCAATCCATTCAACCTTTCAAGTGTCATAATTGGCTTAAAGTAATTATTCAACAACTTGAATCAAATTATCTTTTTCATGTGTTCCATTTAGCCTTGCTTATCACTTGGTACTACGATCTAATAATGGTATTCATCTTTACTTGTAAGTGAGAGGTCTTAGGTTCGATTCTCACTAAAGGCAAATTTGAACTATATTATTATCAGTCTCTTGTGAGATTATGCCCACCTCCCTTATCTGAATGTAGATAATATCGTTTGTTAAAATATATGATATTTTTTCTTATATTCGGAAGGAACTAAAACTGGGTTAGGAACTTAAAAGAGATACTTGAAGGGAGATTGAGAAGGGGAGAATGAAAAAGGGCAAAAAAAAAAAAAAAAAAAAAAAGGGAATGTTGTTTGCATGCTAGGTTTGGGAAGAGATAGCCGCAAGGTACCATTAAATGTTTTTTGTTCGGTCAATATATAATTCGTACGAGCCCTACTAGAGTCGGATCCTTAAGAAGAAAAAAAAAAAAAAAAGTTGTTTGAGCTTTAAAAGATTAATTTTATATTTCATAATATTAAATGTTTACATTTCTTATCTTTTCATATATACTAATAAAAAATTTTGGGGCCCTTTGATTTGGGGCCACGGGCGGTTGAAATCATTTCAATAGTTCAGTAATATTAGTGCGTAGTCTGGATGAACGGTGAATATTCATACTATTTTTTTTTTTGTTTAATCTTCACCGTTTATGTTTTGGTCTACTTAATAGTTTCGGATTATTAAGACAAAAACCCCAAAAGTTACTAGCTTTTATTTTTTTATTTTAAATAATTTTTTCTTTCACAATGTTAAAAGATGTATCAAATTGCAGTTCTGGTATAATTCTTGAATTAAGATTTGCGAAGTTGCAATTGTGATGGATGGACAACAGCATGAAACAGATCAAATGGTGGTGTTTGAGAGACCCTTCAACTTCCAGAGATACGCACTACTATAAATTAAACTATAAATGTATGTAATATATATG